CAGGACTGGCTCCTGGGACACCAGCTCCTCTGGCACTGGGCTCAAAGCTGGTGGCAGGTTGCTGGGGCAGCAGCTGCCTGTAAGCTGGGCTAGAAACTCCCCATGACATTTGTTGAACCCCACCGAAAGACTTAAGTGCATAAAGAAATACATCATAGTCGTTTATGGAAGAAATGTGTAACAGGTAGACATAGCATCAGAAGCAGAAACTGAGATGATTATAACCAGTACAGGATCTAAATTAGACCAAGTTCTGCATTACCCCATTTTGGACAGGGCTCTGAGCAGCCTGGCCTAGCGGAAGGCGTCCCTGCCCATGGCAGGGGGTTGGAACTGGATGAGCTTTAGGTCCCTTCCAACACAAAACATTCTGTGATTCTGTTATTCCATGACTTACTTCTGTGGCAATGGAAGAAGAAAGGTCCCTTTGGCAGCCATACGTATCATGTAGCAGTTAAGACCATCATGGTCAAGCCAAACTGGGGCTTGATTCAGTGGAGAGTCAGTCCCTGAGGAGCTGCCACTTATCCATGTGGCCATTTCCCACACACCCCATTCTTCCTACAGCCTTTCTTGCCAAAATATCTTCTGTGGCAATGAGGGTTGCCCATAAACCCATTAACAGGGTACAGCAGTGCTTAGTGAGTGTGGGCTGGAAGGAGGATGGTGGTGCTCCCCTCCTGTCCCAGTGAAGCCAGCTCTTTATTAGAAGAATGTCTCTGGCTGGACAGGTCGTGCCAGGCTGAAGGTGCAGAAAGGTTTTCAGTTTTAAAGCCACCTGGGTCCAGCACAGACGCAAGGTTAAGATCTTTGAACAGACCCCAGGAGCTGGATGGAGTACAGGCTTTAGTCTTGTGGGCTCAGCCTGAGTGCTCAGTGGGGTAAGTTGCAGACTGTGGCATCCCCTCCCTCTTCCTGGAACTTGTGCCATCAGCAGGGATCAGCACATGGAGGTCCCTGCCCATCTGCAGTGCTCAGGAGCTGAGCATGGGGACTTAGCAAAGGAGTGTTGAAGAAACATCAGTGCAGTACCATTCCAGCTGTGGCCCCCTCCCAGATATGAGAGCTTGTGTGTGAAGGGTGATGGCAGCCCATGATTTTGGTAGCTTTAGGGACTCATCTGAGACCGGCCCCATTACACATGGAACAGCCAGCAGAGCTTGGCTACTCCAGGATGCTGGCACAGTGCTCTGGTGTGCTGCTTGTGCAGGGAGAGAGCAGGGATGGAAGCTCTAGGTAGGCATGGAAGCTCTAGAGTCTCTTCGGCTACTTCTTGGGGAACAATCAATCACTAGCAAACAGCCTTGCAACCTGCTGGAAAATATTTCTGCAGCTGAACCTGTTTCTGGGTCTTTTTTTGTTATGCAAACCACATATCCTTCCCCTCATGGTGCGCGTCTGCCTGTCTATCTCCCCCAGGGAATAACCACAACATAGACAGCGTGATATACAGGTGGAACCCCAGGACAGGGTTGTTTGAAACCAACCAGACCATCCCTACCTCTGGAGCCTATGACTGGGAATTTTTCACCATCGGGCCGTATTCCTTCCTGGCTGTGGCTAACACATTCAATGGCACATCCACTAAGATCTACTCGCACATCTACATCTGGCTCAGTGGCTCTTTCCAGCTCTTCCAGTCTATCCTGGTAAGGCTTGGACCCTGATCAAACATTAGTCCTCAGTCCCCCTTTAGTGTTTGGACAAGCCAGGGAATAATTACAGAGACAGATGCTCTTCAGACCTCTGGAAAGGCAGTGATACTTTCCTACTGATTCTCCCATAGGCATTAACAGAACGAGGTTTATTTTTTTTCCTTGGAGGGTTTTAGGAGTGGGTAACTTCCTCCAGCAGATCCCCCCACACCTTGCAGCATCTTTGGCTTTCAAAGGCTTGTCCATGTCCAGCTTCTCATGTGTCTTCCTTCCCCAGACTTTTGGTGCTGCTGACTGGGAGGTCTTTCGTATTGGGGACAGAGTCTTCTTGGCTGGTGCAAACAGCCACAGCTATGACAGTGGGATGCCAGCACCCTCTAACTTCTACGCCATCAACTCCTCCATCTATGAGCTGAATGTCACTGCCCAGATGTTTGTCAAATTCCAGGATCTCCTCACCTACAGGTACCTGTGCAAAGAGCCAGGGTGCTCCTCAGTCACATCCTTCCCCTGAGCAATCTGGAGGTCTCCATGCAGGCTTCGATGTTGCCAGGGACTGAGACTGGCGGGGAGGGCAATGGGTGACAGGTCCTTGGCACCAAATCCCAGTGGGAGCTAGGAGAGGGCCCTGAGTTTGGGAACAAGGGTGGATTTCCTTATGGGAACAGCTTGGGAAAAGCAGAGTTTTCTGTATATCACCAGAATGGCAAAGGTTGGTGTGGGGTGGGCTCAACCCTGCGACATGCAGCCCCTTCCTCAGCTGGCCATGGAGGGGCCACCTTACCTGCCCCTCTGCTTGCTTCATCCCCAGTGCCCTGGACTGGGAGTTCTTCTCGGTGGGAGACGACTCTTTTCTGGTGGTAGCAAACTCCTTTGATGGCTTCACCTTCTCCGTTAACAGTATTATATACAGGTACTGCTGCAGGAGGAGGGCAGGGCTGGGTGGTTGGATGATTGTTCCCAGTAGGAGCAGTCCTGCCGGGAGCCCAGCACAGGGGAAACCCCTGCAGATGCTGCTGCATCTGCCCAGGGTGGACAGAGAGGCCTGCTCCCTGTTTCTGGGAAGGTTTCTAGACAGGAATGAGAAGCCCCAGTGAAGGACATCCCACCCTGAACCACAGCGGGGAGGTGGGAGATGCCAATCCCATGGCTTAGCTTTCCTGACCCTTTCAGGTGCCCAGCTTGTGCCCCAAGAGCTAACTGCCCTTTCTGTGCAGGTGGCAAGGCTATGAAGGCTTCGTAGCGGCTCACCACCTCCCCACTGTTGGCTGTAGAGACTGGGAGGCATTTCACACCGCTGAGGGCTCCTACCTCCTCTACACCAGTGCCAAGGAGCCGCTTTCCAAGGTGCTCAAGCTGAAAACCACCTGAGGTGGCTGAGACATACTCAGCTCATTGCCAGGATCGGGGCAAGCTGTGCATCGAGATGAAGATGGACCACAGAGCCCGGGAACGGTGTGGGATCAGCCCTGCGGCTGGCTGGTTGTACACTCCACAGGATGGGAAGGAGGAGGATGGGAGCTCCAGGCTCCCTGCAGCCTTGTCCAGGGCTGGCAAAGCATCTGTGACCCTGCTTTGGTGCTGTTTCTCCTGGGCAAGCTTTCCTGCCATGCTCCAGAGCTACATCCTACCCAGGGTGCTTGGTGCCCAGGTGCTCCCCGGGGCTCAGCGGGACCCAGCGCTTGGCACACTCCAGCCAGAAGGGACCCAAGTGCTGTTGGTCGTGACCAGAGCTCACAGGGAAGAGACTGAGCAGAATGCTGTGCTGCCTATTTGTGCACTGGGTGTTGAGCAGACACTTGTGGTGCCAAGGGTGGGTGTATGGCAGGGGGAGGAAATGGCATGTGAGAAATGGGGGGAAAATGTTGGCTTTGGGCTTGGCTCTGGCTGCCCAGCACCTGGGGCTGTGATGCTGCTGAGGACCCATCTGGTTTGACATTGCACCCTTTTGTATGAGGTTAGTGACTCCCGAGCAAACCTGCTGTGCACGGCGACCAACCTGGCTACCATGGACATGGGGAAGTCCCAGAACTGCTCCAGGTGAAACTGTGGCCTCTTTTAGTTTTATCAACTTTTCTGGGGGACTCTTGCTTAACCAGAGCTCTAATAAATTCTGTGCACCCATGCTTCATCCCACAGCCAAGCTGCAGGTATCTGATCTGCTCTGCAGAGCCACCCCTGAGCAAGACGGTGCCATGTCCATGATGGCCCATGAAGAAGAGGTGGTCCTGAGCACAGTAGTGTGCTGGGGTGAGGGTGCCCCTCTGCTTTTCCCCCTCAGACCCTCTGCCTTTCCTGAGTGGCTCGGAGCATTGCTCAGCCTTCCCTGGCTTTCCTGCTGGAAGAAGGTGACAGCCCCCAAGAAAGGGCTGGGTAGGTGGTGGCCTGAGCCATCCTGGGGTCCAAGCTTGGGAGAGCCAGGCAGACCCTGCAGCTGGCTCTGCTGGGAAGGTCCATTTGTTGCTTGTAAAACAATGTATAACTTGATCTGCTTCCGCTGTGCTGAGCCGTGAGCAGTGTCTCTAATGCAGCCCTGAGCAAGGGTGGGATAAGGCAAGATGCACCAGGCAAGATACAGAGGCAAAATATGGCCAGCTGGCCCCTGCTCAAAGCAGACTGGGGTGAGGGTGGAGAGGATGTAGCCTAATGGCAGTCACACTGGTACACTGAATTTAGGCTGACCTGCTTTGGGACAGATTGAATTAGGACAAGTGCAAACCCCTCAAGCACCACCACCCTTCCTGGATGCCCAGCTCCCAGTGCAGTGCAAACCCCAAGGGTTTTTCCTGCATGTAGGGCTGTATTGAGAAACCAAAGGTTTGGGAGATCACCTCCGTGTTGCTGCTGGCAGGCAGAGGCTGCTGAGATGCTGTATGGTGGCTGGGCCTGATGTCATGCTCTCTGCAAGGCTGGTCCCTCCCTGGAGCCAGGATGGGGTGACTCTGCTGACACCCTGCATCCCAGGTTCCAGGGACCTCCTGGAGGTCCACAAGAGCCCCTGCCTTCATCTGTCTCCCTCAGGGTCTTGTTCTCTCCAAACCCAGCATGTGGCTGGGGCTGCTTTCCCTGTGAGCCCAGATCTGGCAGGGGAGAAGGGGTCTGTGTATAGGAGGTTCTTCTCCAGGAACCTGAGCTCCATCGACAGGTCTGCATGGGGTGTCCCCAACATCCCTCCCTCATGTCATTTGCTTATGCTCAGTCCAGCATCACTGGGAGGGGCGAAGTCAGTGGCACTCATTTTCAGGACTGCAAGCACTGCAAAATCCCATCAAGAAGCTTTGGAGACCACCAGGTTGCCACTGGCTCTCTGCAAAGAAGCTGGGAACAGGATGCCCCAATCCTGCACTACAGGGCAGTGCTGGTGGTCTCAGCATGGCCCTGGGTGCTCGGCAATGACTTCAGGTAATCCACATGCTTGCAGGTGTCCTCTCGGTTGTGCCGGACATAGCAGATCACATAGACGATGACCATGGCGAACCAGCCAAACATGGTGATGAACATGGCCACATCCGTGGTCCTCTGGCGCACGCTGCAGAAGTTGACGCCGGCATCCAGGACCTGGAGCAGCGGTTTGCCCACGTATTCCTCTCGTGGGGCCGTGTGGCAGGTGATGTCCTGGACGGAGTCGGGGTCCAGCCGTGCTTCCCACAGCACCTCCTGCAAGGCACATTCGCAGTGCCAGGGGTTGTTGGCCAGCCGGAGCTTGGCATTGAGTGCCAGCAAGGCCTCCTTGGGGATGCTGCGGATGCGGTTGCTGGAGAGGTCGAGTGTACGCAGCCCGGCAGCCACCCCTTTGAAAGCTGCTCTGTCGATCTTCTCAATGGCATTTCTGGAGAGATCGAGTTCCTCCAGGTGGGAGAGGTGCCTGAAGGCGTTGCTGGGGATCCTGGTGATGCTGTTGGCATCCAGCTTGAGGAACACTGCGTCTTTGGGGATGTCCTTGGGGATCTCCTCCAAGTGCCGGGAGCTGCAGAGGACAGCCTTTGCCCCTGCCCTCTCTGTGCATTGGCAGCTGGGGGGGCAGGAGCTGCCCCAGGGGACACACAGCAGAAGGTAAAAGAAAGCCTGGGCAACACTGGCTGCCGGGGTAGTCGTTTATGCTGCGTCCGGCCGGCTCAGCATGTCTGCTGGCGATTCCCCGGCGGCGGCAGCAGCTCCTGGGCAGCAAGGCAGCTCCTCTGCGCTCCTGCAAAGCCTCTCCCATTGCTGTAGGGAAGCAGAGGGTGGAGGGGATATGACACGGCATTATTTCCTGGAATGCCACTTACGTCTCGTGTGTAATGCACCCTGGCAAAGCGGTGAGAGGCTGGGCTCAGGAGCCCAGAAAACAAGGTTGGAATGATACTGGCTACCATCTTTTCCAGGACAGCTTAATTTGTCTTAAAACATAGAGCTGCACAGATTAAAAACCCCTCCCCTCTTGCCCCATCTCAGCAGAGGCCACCCAGGCAGGCAATGGGTGCTGCAGGATGCGGGTGTCGAGGTGGGCATGGCCTGGGTGCCTGTGCCTCAGCCTGCTGCCAGTTTCCACGTGGGATGCAGTGATTTTGCTGCTGGAGAACAGCAGCAGTAAATTCCTACCTCACCAACCCCGAATGTTAAAAAAAAAGAGATGAGTCAGATTCCCTGTGTTATCAGACTTAATCACCACCGGGGTTTAAATAACAAGATGTGGAGTTCTTCTGCTTTCCCCATCAGGTCCATGAGCTGGTTCAAGTCACATTTCCAAGGGTTTTGCCAAAGCAGGGGGTTGGAGGTGGCTTTGATTTTTAAAGTAAACAAAGAGTATGGTTTAACAGCCTTAGTCAGGAAGCTGGAGCTTAAGAGAGGAACCACTGTCTATCACAATAAAGGGGGTGATCTGAGAACCCCAAGGGCCACCATAGGCCTGCTGGGGATGAGACAGGGAGGTGAAGCACATGGGTTTTCTTTCCTCTGCCCTTACGTGCTACTTGCCCCTCTCCTGCTGCCTTGGCCAGGCTGGGGGTAAGAGACCCCCACGGAGGGGAAGGGTGGGGGAGCTGGGGGGGAACACACACACACCCTCTGGCAGGCTCAGGGAGCCTTTCGCCCTGGAATGAATCTCATCAGGAAACTAGCTGGGCTCCAAGTTATTATCCCCCCTATTCCCCTAGTACCAGCATCCTTCTTATAAAGGCATCCCCCTGGTAACAGCATTCTTCTGATAACGGCATTCTCTTGGTAAGAGCATCATTCAAGCACCAGCATCCCTCAGGTGTGAGCACCCGAAGGGTACCACTCAGGGGATGCTCATACCTGCGGAATGCTGCCAGTGGACGTGCCTGTGGACCTGCCCAGGGGTGTGGGACTGTGCAGTGGACTATTCCAGAGGAGATTAAGTCACACTGCCTGGGAATCCCTCTGGCCCTACAAATGACACCGGGGTCTGCCAGTCCCATCTCTCGGGGGAGGAAGCAGGGATGCACTTTGCCACGCTGGTTCCCACCGCTTGCCCGAGCCTGCTCGCTTCCCTGGAAGGGCTCCGAGGGAGCGCAGC